TAATCTTTATCTACTTTCTTCTTCTCAATTTTGATAGAGGATGTATGTGTCATTAACTTTCTCTCTCCTTTTTTATGCAATATAGACATGTGATAAGTATTCTTTAAGTTTTCATTACTATTGAGTTCAAAAGACTTTGTAATTTCATTGATGACTTCTTGTTTCAGTGGTGGGTTTGGTTTTTTTCTTTTTTTAATGAAGATATCTCTTAACCTAAGAACATATAGAGGATAACATGTTTCTTTTTCTTTTGTGATTGCTCTGGCTAGAATGTCCAGAACTGTGTTCAGAAGAAATGGCAAGCACAGGCCTCCTTTGCCTCCTTCCTGATCTCAGAGGAAAAGCTTTCACTCTTTCACCACTGACTATGATGTTCACAGTGGGGTTTTCACATAGGACTTTTTGTTCTTTTGCGGCAGCGTCCTTGTATTCAACACACTATTGTGTGTAGAAATTATTTTTAATCATAAAAGGACACTGAATTTGTCAGATGCTTTTACTTCATCAATTGAGAAGATCGTGAGATCGTTGTCCTTCATCTAGTTAATGTGCATGACATTAATTGATAGTCACTGGTCAAATCTTCCCTGCATTCCCCAGATAAATCCCACATGGTCATGGGCTTTCCATAATCTCGGTTTGCTAGTGATTTATTTGTTCAGTGTTTTTTTAAATCAACGTTATTCCAGGATACTAGTTTGTTGTATACTTTTCTTGTGGCCCCTTTTTGTGACTTGGTGTCAGGGTAATGCTGTCCCCTTAAAATGAATTGGAAGTGTTCCAACTTCTTATGCTTTCAAAGACATTGAGGAGGATTGGCGCTTTACAGAGAGTCCTCCAGTGAAACCATCCGGTCCTTTCCTTTTTTCTTTAGGGATGTTTGTGATTACGGCTACAGTGTCCTTATTAGTTATAGGTCTGTTCAGATTCTGTATTTCTTCATGATTCACTCTTGGTAGATTGTATGTTTCTCAAAATTTGTGAACTTTTAGATTGTCTATTTTGTTGATGTATAATTAATTGTTCCTAGTATCCTCTTATCATCTTTTAATTTTAGCAGCATCACCGGTAAAGTCTCCTCTTTCCTTCTGAATTTAGTTATTTAAGTCTTCACTAACACTTTTTCTAGTTAACCTACTCAAGAGTTTGCCAGTTATGTTGGGCTTTTCCAAAATACAATCCTTCATTCCATTGATTCCATTTTTTTTTTGGTTGTACTGGATTTTGAACTCAGGGCCTTACACCTGGTGGTTGGACACTCTACATCTTGAGCCGCTCCCCTGGCCCTTTTTGTTTTAGTTATTTTTCAGTTATGGTTTCGTGATTTTGCCCAGGACTGGCCTCAGCCTGCCATCCTCCTCCTATGCCTGCCGTGTAGCTGGGATTACAGGTATGCCCCACTGTGCAGGGCTTATTGGTTGAGATGGGATTTCATTAACTTTTTGCCCAGGCTGGCCGTGAACCATGGAACCGTGATCCTCCCTGTCTCCACCTCTAGAGTAACTGAGATCACAGGTGTGTGCCACCATACCTGGCCATTTCATTTGGTTCTTCTGTTGTTTTCCTATTCTCTCTTTCCTTTCTTCCTAATTTAATCTTTATGTTTTCCCTTCTCGTGGTAATTCTGTGATTAAATTGCTCTTTTATATTGTGATACCTCTTTTTTTTTTTTTTTTTACTTTCATTTGCCTCAAGGCATTTTCTAAGTTCCCTCATGGTCTTTTTTTTTTTCCTTTGCTCCAATGGCTATTTGAGAGAGTGTTCTTTAATTTTCACATTTTTGTTAATCTTCTAATTCTCCTTCTGGAGTTGGTTTCTAGTTTCATTCTGCCACGGTCAGAAAAATACTCAGTATGATTTCAATCTTTTTCAGTTTCTTCAGATCCTAAATGTGGACAAAAAAGCTAAAATTAAAAACTTCCAGAAATGAATTAGAAGGATGTCATGATGAACATGCTATAGTCAAAGGACTCACTTCTGTTCCAAAGAAAGTAACAGCCACACACAAAACATGTTAAGTGGATTTCATCCAATTTAGCAACCCTACTCTTCATCATCAGGTAAATGAATATATACACAGGACAATGAACAAGTATGCAAAATATATAAGGACCTCATCATTCATTATTAAGAGGAGAGCCCAATAGTAAATGGGCAGTTCATGTGAAAAAGGATACACATACACCCAAGAGAAGAGGCTGGGCCCAGGTCACACACTGGCAGCGCCAGAGCTGGGTTAGAGACCTCAGGCAAGTCTCATCCCTTCTCTGGTGCAGTCTTATCATGTCAATCACGAGGGTGGACAGGACCCCAAAGCATCAGTGAAAGTGCAATGGGATTTGGTGCATGCAGCCTGGTGGGCAGGAGAGTCGGTGTTAAGGAAGAGTGTAGAGCAGGAGGACGTGTCACCCACAGGACCCAGTGATCCCCTCCATGGCAGCAGCAAGAGACTTCAAGAGGCAGAACAGGCATCGCGCATCGTGTCCTTAGGATCCTGGGTTCCAGTCGTTGTGCTGCTCTCCCTGGCTGTACGACTTCAGACTAGTGGTCGTCCTCTCAGAGCTTCAGGTTCCTTGTTCATGGAATGGGCCTGACCAGCCCCTCCTCTCAGGGGTGCAGGTAGTTGTCAATACAGGCTCAAACAGGAAATTGCACATGAATATCCATTACAGTTTTCTGTATAATCATAAATAAGTGAAAGCCAGTGACTTGACCAATGTTTGTCCATGAGCAAGTGGAGGAGGATCAGAGAGCATACCAGGGCTGGGGAAGAGGCTGTGGGAGCCATCAAACATCATGAATACCACTGTTGCAGACCTGGCACATACAAGGGTCTCAAAAAATATGTGAGCCTATGTGGTGGAATGTCTATGGAAGGCCTGGCCTGGGGTGGGGGGGAGGCGTATCTTGGTCTCCTGGCTCTTCCCTTTCTCCTTGCCCAGATAGCTCTCAGCACGGACCCTTGCATGGTGTGGGGCTTGGGCCCCTGGTGGAACCCTCCCTGGGAAGAGGAGGTAGAAAGGGGAGTGTCCAGGCAGCCTGGAGCTGCCTGGCATTGTATCTCTGAGGGCTGTTTCCTCCACCTTTCTAGATGAGCTGCCTTATCTCAAGGGCCCTCTCCACACAGTGCTCAAACTCACACCTGAGGCTCGTGTTGAGTGACCTCACCCTGACTCCAGAAAAGGCATGAGCCTACTGTTACCTCAGGAGTGTCTCAGCAGGTCCCAGTCACCTTGGGTAAAACTCATCATGCCAGACCTCATCTTTCCCATAGTCCCAACCAGAGAATTGGACACAGTTCACGTTTCTCTGGGAATGCGTGGGGTGGGTGTGTCTGTGCCTGTGTGTGTATTCCAGTTAAACTTTGGGACTCAGTGTTTGTCAGAATCCCAGAAGATCCGTGTGTCCAACCAGGGACTTTGACACCAGAGAGGAGAAATAAAAACACATGCCACCAAGTTGGATGCCCACCCTTGAGACCTCTGTGAAAAAGAGGTCCAGGTCCTGGGTGTGCGACCTATGCAGTCCCATACTCAAAAATGCTCCCCTGTTGTTGTCTTGAAAGTCTTAATCACTTTTGAGCAATGAAGGTCCAAGTTCTCATTTTCAACTGAGCCTCGCGATTTATGTAGCTGCACTGGGTGAGGATCTGGGTCTGGCTGAGATGGGAGCCTCTTTTGGACACTAACTTCAAAACTTTTAAGAAGTGAGAGGGACAACGCAGAGAAACTAAAGCAGATACCTTAAACGCAACTGAGGCCAATAGGAGAAGGGGACCAGGAACTGGAGAAAAGGTTAGATCAAGAAGAATTAACCTAGAAGGTAACACACACGCACAGGAAATCAATGCAAGTCAACTCCCTGTATAGCTATCCTTATCTCAACTAGCAAAAACCCTTGTTCCTTCCTATTATTGCTTATACTCTCTCTTCAACAAAATTAGAGATAAGGGCAAAATAGTTTCTGCCGGGTATCGAGAGGGTGGGGGGGGAGCGGGAGGGGGTGGGGGCAGGGGGGAGAAATGACCCAAGCATTGTATGCACATATGAATAACTTAAAAAAATTAAAAAAAAAGTGAGAGGGAGGCAGCGATACTGACACGACTTAACTGCTGTCTTCCTGGTCTGTCCTTCCAGGCTGTGAACACTGTCCCTGCCTGGTACTGAGCCCTTCCCAATAGGCCAACCTGTCTCTGCCCTCACTGCCTTGCACCTGGAGGATGTGCAGCCCAACCCCCAGCCCCTGCCAAGCATCACCCAGCCCTTTCCACCCCCAGTGCCTAGGCTTGGCCTCAGCCTCCCCGGGAGACTTCCGGGGAAGAGCACTGAAGCCCCTAGCAGAGCTCCGTTTCCTCACAGACAACGAATGGGTTGACTGGGTCTACATGAAGCTTTGTTTTCATTATGTCCTCCTCTCTCAGCAATACCTGCTGCCCCTCCTACCCAAGGCAGGGGGGAAAACCCCAATTGTGAGGCCTGCATCATTGTCCTTAAGGCTCTGTCCCTCTGTCCCAGAAAGGAGATGAGGGAAGGGTCATGGAATTTTGTCTCCACAAAGATGAGGATTCAGGAGGTGAGTGAACCCTGTGAGGTGAGTACCTGTGGACCCTGTCCCTCGGCGTGAGGGACGGTGGCACAAACCTCTAGTCCTCCACACCATCCCTTCCCCTACGTCCTCTTGGCATCTAGCTGGCACTGCTGCAGAACCCTTGTGGGACATCACGTAACCATATGCACGGGGGCCTCTCTGAACTCATGGTCTCTCTACTCAGTTGGAACCCCTACAACTCCCAGCATCCTACCCATACCTGTGTGCCTTTTCCACAGAGGTGGGGCCCACTGATCCCAGATGGCCTGCAGAAGTCTCTTTGTTAGCACCCCAGCCACACGCCTCTTATAGCAACCCAAAGGCAGGTAAAGGAGGGAACATCCAAATTAACTTTGCAACTTTAATCGTAACAACGATATGAAAAAACACAAACACACAAGAAACAGCACACAAGGAAAGCAGGAAAGATGAGGGAAGCTTCATCTTGCATGGTCCCTCCGACCCACAAGGAGAAGTGCCTGGAGTGCTGTGTGACAGGGACTCTGAGGAGGTGGTCTGCCTGGGTGAGGAAGATTGCTGCAGTTCCTCAAGGCTGTCTGGGACACAAGGGAGCAAAGGGTTCAGGACATGGATCAAATCCACAGCAACAAGGGAGGGACACAAACAATGAAGCAAGTGTGTTTCCCCACGATCATCACTGCCTCCACCCCCCAACCCGGCCTCCCCCGGCATCTCTCCCAGCTCCTCCACAGCCCTCCTGCAGGGTCTCACATCCCTGTGAAAATCTTACTGGATCCAGGAGAAGAAGCTGGCTCCAGCTCTTGCAGCATTTCTGGTCCGGATGGTGGAGCTGGTGCTAGGGCCATCGAGGATGCTGGTGCTGGCCCCACTGTTGGTGCCACTGCTGACACCAGCTCTCCATGTGGCTCTCCTGTTGGCACGGTTGCTATTCAGAATGTACTGATGGTACCTGGCCCAGAAAGCAAAAGGGATCCTGGCCCAGGCATCGCCAAAATCCCCATCCTCATCCCAGGTCAGCAGCTCGGCCTGGATGTCGTCCCAGCTCCACCGTCCAATCAGAGCTTCATCCCCGATATTCATCTGGGCCCTCATCTGGGCCCTGGCATGTTCCTCAGCCATATCCACGTCCATCGTCTTGAAAGCATCGTCAACAGCCTCCAAGAAATGAGCCTTCCATTCCCGGGGGTCTCGGTTCTGGTTCTGAGGTGGCAAACAGCAGCCTTAATGACAGGGCACCCCACATTCATGAAGCACCTACTGCCTGTGACAACCTTCTATGGGCTTCCAGTCATGATGGCAAAAACAAACAAGACTGGGATTGGGTTCTTACCATTCTGTGCCAAAGCTGGAAGCTCACCCCATCCCACACACTTACGTCTGTGAACTTAGGTCTAAGTTACTTAGAAACCTCGCATGGGATCATGACAAGGAGGCTGTGACCAAGAAACAAACAAGGCATGGAAAATGCCACCCTGGTGCCTGGCACCTGGTAGAGGCTCTTCAGTACCTGGGCAATGAATCTCAGCACTCTCATCTTGCTGGTCTCATGGCGGGCTCGCAGGCCCCAGAAGAACTCATACTCCGGTGGGCTGCTGTTAGGGATCTTCTTGTAGTCCAGGTACCTGAAGGTGAGAGGAAAATATCCTTTGAGTCTGGCCAGGCAGACCTGTTTTGACCTGATGGGCTCCAGGTAGGACCTCCTACACCCCCAATGCTGCAGGGTCAGCTCATGGAGGTGACCTGCCCTGCCCTCGTTCCCAATACCTCAGCCTCCAAGAGTGAGGCCTTCACAGCCTTATGCCACTGTTTCTGCCTGGAATCGGAGTGGAAGTGCAGAGGTGACACCTGTAGGGCATTTGCTCATAGGGAGGCCACAAGTGTCGTGCCCCTCATTGCCATGGGCCCAGATTCCTGTTGGGTGTGTTGTAAACAGGGGAGCCATTCTTTGGGCCCCCTGCTCTGAGCACACCCCACTTCAAGGATCCCGATGGAGTCATGGTCTGGAAAGATCCACTATGGAAAACGACTGGAAAGGATGAAATGATCAGCCAAGAGCAGCTCTATGTGTACTCCTAAATTTCTGACCCTCCCTCCCCCCACAGTGTGTGCGTGTGTGTGTGTGTGTGTGTGTGTGTGTGTATTTGTGCACATGCACACATGAGTCATGCTCAGAGATAACCGCTCTTGGAGCCCCAGGCTCCTTAGGTGTAAAACAGGAATCTCCCATGAAAACCTGCAGGACACCTGACACATATCACACCCTGCACAGCGTTCTCAGTCAACTGGTGCTTTCCCCAAGGCTGCCCCAGAAATTCACTCCCCACACACATGCAGACCCCAACCCTCGCCTATGCTCACTTCAGAGGCAAGCATCCCTCTAGTTTACTAGTTGCTTTGGCTTAGGGAATGGCTTTTTTTCTCTATAGACCATCAGCAAGGAACACACAAGAGCAGAGACAAGGTTAGCTGAGTCAATACTTACTTCTGCTTTACAAAGTCGTCTGTGATGAGCTTCCTCAGATCACCAAGGAATGGGTGCCTCACCCTGAAGGCAAGCCAAGAAATCCACGACTAGTGACAGTGGCAGCAGCACATGTGGGCAGGAGCACTCTTGGGCATGATCATGAGCTTCCCTGCCCAGAGGCCATCCCCTTGGAGACCCGACACACACCAGAGGCCAGATGGCTACTCGTCAGGGATGCCCAAGGAAGGGGATTGACAAAGCCCCTAACTCTGATTGTCTCTCTGAGGACAGACAGCTGAGAGGGTCCTGAGAGTCCCTAACCCCTAGTCCCATCCATCCTGGAGAGGCCCCCTGCCCTCTGCCTAGCCTAGAGTGCCCCACTCCCCTGCCCCAGACCCCAGGCTACTACAGTCCCAGGACCTCCTCTGCCAGAGGACAGCATTGATGGGCAGGAGCTGAGGAGCCAGTCATACCCAGGGCGCAGTCCCATCTTGCGGAGTGCCTCCCAGAGCACAACTGCAAGGAGAGATGGGGTACAAGAGTTTGACACACAAAGATGACACTGTGAGCAAACCCCTAGCTGCAGGGCCAGTACTCACCCTCGCTGGCCCGGTTGCCATTCATGAAGATGATGCCCAGAATCACCAAGAGAAGACTCAGCCGGGGAGTGTCCTTGGTCCTAAAGATGGAGAAAAAGAGATGCTGTCTAGAGGCCATTTCCTCCACAACACAGCCAGCTCAACTGACTAGCCTCTCCGAGACTTCCTAGCAGAAGGGGATTCTTCCTAGCCATATGCAGGGTCTGCGTCCAGATGGCAGACAATTAATGCACAGTTCCACAGCCTGAGACTTACTGACCTCACCCATAACAGGGACATGCTAATAATCCCTTGTCAGGGTTCTGTGGAGCACAGGGTGAGGCAGGGAGCAGGAGCTGGAGCAAAAGCTCGGCAAACTGCAATGAGACATCCAGAGGCAGATGCAGACCTTGCCGGCTATGCCCGCCTTACGGTCTACACTCATCAGGCACCTCCCAGGAAGACCACCATGGCTAAACCCAGACCAGGCATGTGGTGGCAAGAGGCAAGCTGATTTTCTTCCCAGCTGGTAGGGAGTAGGGGGGAGGTGTGGTACAGAAGGAGAAATCCCAACAGTAGCAAGGCCTGGCCCCAGGATGCTACCCCCTTTCATCCAGCAGTCACTGCGTGCCACTCCCTGAGAGGGAGAGCCCTGCTGAGTCCTCGAGCAATGTGCTCCTGTTCCTGAGAGGATGTGGGCAGGGACAGGGTACTGCCAAAGAGGCCGCCACCCTCTTTTTCTTCCTCACTTCCCCAGGAGGCGAGCAGAAGAATCCCTCATGCAGACAAGAATGTACAGGTGTTCCCCCTTGTCGATTTCCTTCAGGTGGATCCCAAACTTCTACATGATGAGAAAACAGAGAGATCAAACCCCACGCTGGGCATCGCACTGAAGTCAAGCCCCAGTCAAAATGTTTCCTCAGGCCATGATTAAGGGCATGAGAAGACAGGGTCCTGAGGGCTGCCTGTGGGAGCCCTGGTGCCAGCAGAGACAATGAATGAGCCCCATCTCAGGAGATAGAGAGACACTCAGAGAGCAGGAGAGGAAAAGCACCAGCGAAGGGTCACACACGTGTCACACCGCTGGTGCTGCTCAGAGGTGGAGGGCTAGGGGAGGCTTCCAGAGCAGGCAGGATGGGCACTGGGCCTTGGAGGGCCCCAGGCTGCCCCGCTGTGCTTATTGTACACAGCCTCTCATCCCCTCACCCACCTTTTCCAGAGTGTAGGTAGCTCGTTCAATGATCTCAGGGAAGTGCTCATCATATTCTCGGATAACGTCCTTCAGCATGTCTACAGAAGGGGGAGGAGTTGGGGAAGCCACCTGGGTTGAACAGGAGACCCAGAGCTGCACCCCCTGGCCCAGTCGTGCTGAAGGCAGCCAGTCAGGATCCCGTTCTGTGGAAATGGAGGAACCAACCACAGCCGGAGGGTGGGGCACATAAGCAAAGTGATGCCCACAGAGCAGGGATTGATAGCAGGGCATAGGATACCTACCTGAGCGTTTGATGGGGATCTTCTTGTAGTCTTTAATCATCAGGTATTTCACCAACTTATTTGCCTGGATAAGGAGGAACATGGTGGGGGAGATGAGGAGATCAAGGCCTGGGCGACTTCAGAGTTCTGGCCCATGGGCGAAGGAAGAGACAGGGAGGGAAGACTTCTTACCCTCTCTTGCAGAAGGGTCACGTTGCGGGGGGGCAAGCACAGCACATGCCTTGAGGGTATCTGGGACCGAGGAGCTACTGGGGGCCGAGGGGCCAACTGAGCCTGCACCATCAGTGGAGGCTGTGATGCTCTCCAGGTCAGTGGGACCGCAGAAGGCTCTCTCTCCTCCTCGCTGCTCTCATATTCGTCATCCAGGTGCTTTGACTGGATCATCAGAGACAGGAAAGACCCAGGGCTTTCAGACTCCCCATGCAAAAGCGCCCGGCACACACTTTACCCCTAGCAGGCACTTGGCAGCAAGAGTAGTACAAGCAGTGGCTGGCATGTGTTGAGAGCTTACTAAGTGCCAGGCACTGAGCCAACCTCTTCTCCCACCAGCCGTGAGGGTAGGAGCTATGTGGAATAAAAAAGTCCTCAACAAACATGTGCTGGAGAAACATGGACATGCTGAAAGGAGAGGAGGGGGTGGAGAGGAAAGGGAAAGGAGAGGAGCCAGGGGCTCTGCAGCTGGCAGGAATATCTCACCTTCTTCGTCCTCTTGCCTCCCATCCTGACCCAGGCCTCAGCACTTTGCCGAGCAGTGGCAGCTGCCCCCTCAGGCTCGGTGATGGTTGTAGCCATCTTGGCCTTGGCAGCAGCTGTTCCAATGACATTCTGAGGCTCCACCCACCGAGTCTTGGCCAGAGCCTTCCCAGACTTGGTCGTCTTGGGACGGGTGGCTGCCCCCTCCCTGGCAGGTGCTGCCTGGAGCACACAGGAGGCAACACTGGGGCCCTCTGTGGCAGCCTCTTGGGTCGGGGCAGGTCTCTTGGGGCGTGGGAAGGCCACACCACTGACACCTGCTGGCTGAGTGAAATCAAAGACATCATTCTGGCCCAGGAAGGCTGTCTGGAGCCCAGTGGCAGCCATCTCCCTGGTACTCGGAGCCTGAGAAAAAGCACAGGCAGTACTGGGGCCCTCGGTAACAGCCTCCTGGGCTGGGGATACCATCTGGGACTGTGTGGAGGTTGCTGGAGCCGCCTCACCGGCGGCTAACACCTGGGAGGTCTGTGAAGAGGCAAGGACTGTCTTGGGGGTTGCCCTCTGAGCCTCAGCATGTGTTGTGGGCTGGGCATTGACTCCTGGGACCTGCCGTGTGGTCACCACGTGGCTGGCGACCACATGATTGAATGATCTACAGACGGCAGCTGCGGCAGCCCTCGAGGCCCGGTTGGAGGCAGCAGAGCGGGCTATATTGGTGTCCCGGGCCTCTGTCTCATTGGCGAGGGTGTCTGGATCCAGCTGCAATGCCTCCACCAGGGTCCGGGCCAGCACAGGGTTTTCCACTTCCCAGGGCTCATTCTGCAAGGCCAGAGTGCATGGGAAGGGAGGGGAAGAAAACTGTACACACTGGCATCATGCTTACTGGGCAGCTCAGTCGCCTCCCAGCACCCGAAGACATTCCAAAACGGGGAAGCTTTGGGAAAGCTGGGCATGTCTTCCCCACTCGGCCAGCTCTCCCCTTCATCAACCTCCCCTTCACAGGGGACAAGGTCCAGGACTAGCAGGGGGCCAAGGAGGGGCCTCACCGATAAGATGCGAAGGCCTGGACCCATGCTGCCAAAGGCTCTGAGGAAACGGATGTCGAAGCTGGTGAGGGTGCCATAGCCACCAAAAGCACCAAATTCTTCATAGTCGTTGCCTCCAACCATCTCTTCCTCCCTGACTTGGTCTCCACCCTCATCCATGTCTTCAACATTGGAGTTTTCTGGCTGCAAGCTGTAGCTTCCCTCAGCCATGCTGCGGGTCCCAAGAAGGAGACAGCTCAGCCTGAAAGGGAGGGGGCGGCAGCTTCAAGGGGAGGGGGCGGCAGATGCAGTGGCAGACAGCATCTCTCCCGAGGTGAGGGAGGGCACTCATCAGGTTACCAGGCAGTACTACTCAGCACAGGGGCGGGGCGGTGGGGGTGCGGTACAGTAGGGGGTAGTCTGTCAGGGACAGAGCCTGTGCTGAGGGATAGAGGAGATCTCTGAGGAGACACCACACCCCTTTCAGTGTTGTTAGAATGGGCAGGCTCCCCATCACAGTGGCTAGATTTGAATAGCGGGTGTACTGGAGGGCTAGGGTCCTAAGAGAGAGGGAAAAACAAAGGGCTTGAATTTAAGGGCAGGAGCAGGGGACCACGATCAAGGGCGAGCAAATGGGAGGGCTCAGTCAACAGGAATAGTTGAAAGCTCTGGGAAACTGAATCCCAGGGACCTTATGGCCGGGTCCAGTCGGGACGGGGCGGGGTGGAGGGGTGGGTGGGGATTCAGCTGATTCCACTCCAAGTTAGGCTCCAATGGAGCGCTAGGCGCAGATGGACAGAGGCCGTGAACCTAGGTGAGGCTCGAAGTGGAGCCCTGGAGAACTCAAGTCCAAGGACTGGGAGTCCAGGAAGGGGACAAGCGGCTCCCTTGGAGTAATCTAGGAGCGGTGGGGGTTGGGGTGGGGCCTCGGGTTAAAGAAAGCTCAGCTCACAGCACATGAGTCTGCTACAGGGGTTGGGATCATGTGCTCTTGCTGCCAGTAGGCTCGGATCCGGGTGCTCGGGTCTGATGGTCATGGGGGTTGGAGGGGAGAAGGGAGGGCTCCTATCCAGACCTTGGGTCTAATGGGGGTCCGGTTCTGAGTGCTTGGGCTTTGTCCAGATCCCGGAACCGGCGTGAGGGGGCGGGAGCGGCATGTCGGGTTGCAGTTTGCCCTCTTATGGTCCTGTCTGGGGCTGGATCCTTACCTTCCCTGGGGCTCCAATGGCGTCTGGGGCCTCCGTACCAGGAATCCAGCAGCCGCGCCCTCGCCTACTGCTGCCAGCGCAGCAGCTCCGACCACCCCGCCCCTCTGCTTTGCGCACCCCCCCCCCGCCACCCCGCCACCCCGCCACCCCGACCTTCCAACCCTGCCCCCCTCCATGGACCGAGAGCCTGCGCATGCGTGGACCCTTCCAGCCCACCCGCTTTCCCAACAAAAGCCCCTTTCCTCCGTGTCTCCAGTGCGCATGCGATTCCGCGGTTGAGTGGGCGGAGGGGTTGCAGCAGAGGCGAGTGGTAGGGAGGGTTCTCCTTCCCTCTTCATTCCCCTTACCCTTGCTCCTCATACTGCAGGCGGCTACACTCATACCGTGTAGTGCAGCCCAATCCACCCAACCATCTATCCTCAAAATTCCACCACTATTGCACAATACTTCTCAATCCTGCCCTTTCACCTAAGCTCGCCCCCCGCAGGTGCTCCAGGGTGAACTTTCTGAGTAGCTCACTCAGAAGCAGGAATGCATAAGCTGTTGTGAGGATTCAGTGAGTTTATATTAAGATATAAAATGTGTGTTACAGTGCATGGAACAGAGTAAGCACAAAATAAATTTTCATTATAGAGTCCAGAGAAATCACAACAGTTTATGCATCACAGCCTGTGTGTCCTTGCGCAGGACCCACTTACTGTGCTTCCCACTTTACGTATTGAAGAATCAGGCTCAGAGAAGTTGCGTGGCCCAAGGGCGGGGGGAGGGGGTCACACAGCCAGGGACAGACAGTCTGGGCACTCTGTCTCTGTAATTCTGTAGCTCAGCCCATCCTCTTTCTGTAAGACCATGAGGATTTCCACTTGCTGCAGTTACAGACCCAACTAGAGATCTCTT